CTGTGGGGACCGCCAGGTGGTAGATGAGCCACAACAGACCTGCCTGCTTCTGATTCGACAAAGATTGCAGCACTGCACACTGCTCTCTCCATTCCTTCTGTCGCCACCGGTACAGGTAGACCACGGGAAGCCAATCTCGTTTGGCCCACCGGTCCACCAGTTCTTCACGCAGATCCAATGGGGGGAGGAGGGAGCGGTACATGATCCTGGTAGTCACTTGAGGGAGCCGGACTTTCTGTTGATTATAATTCTGCTTAGGCCAGCTCCATTCTTGCGGGTCAATCGCCAGCTCTCGCCTTGTACTGCAAATCCGAAAGGGTCGGGCACTTCCCAGCCCCCCCTCTTTTTTCTTCTTTGCGCATACCGCCACCGTCTCAATTTCGTCAGTCCTCCACCGCGTCTCTGCACCAGGTCCTACTCTCATTGGGGCTCCCAGACCCTCATACCCAGTCACCACCTTCCATGCTCGCGTCACCACCTCCTCACCCTGCACCTGTGTGATCTGGTATACCTGCAGGGGGTGTGTCTCTCCCTTGCATCTTACCCATTCTCCCCCCACTCTATGGTCCACCCTCAGTGTATCCACCCATTGCGTGGGAATAGCCCGCTGAAGGGCGGATAAGTTTTGCCGCCCCCGGAACTTGTGGGGGAGCCGCACTGCCATGTCAGCCTCTTTCCTCTAGTCCCTCTCTTCCTCGTCCCACAGGTGCCCGATCTTAAAGACCCCACATTCCGCCCAATGCTTCCCAAGAGCTCCAGGCTTCCCCTACCTTGGGAACGGATCACCCGTATCGTCACATATGCAGGGGTTGTCAAAGCGGAGTTGATTATAGACATCGTCAGCGGTGACCGGTAACTCTTGCTGTGATTGGAGCTTTTTCCACAATGTCAGCGCAGCGGACCAAATCTGGTTCCTCTTAATGTGGCTAATGAGGCCTAGGCTGGCCAGCGCCACTAAGACCATTTGCTCTGTCATGCCAAGCGCCAGGGCCAAATGCTGAGTGGTAAGGCTCTCCCACGCTGTGCCCGCCGTCCCCAACAAAAACCACAGCAGGTTGCGCAACTGAAGCGCCGTCATCTGCAGTTCTGGGTCCAAGATCCCCAGCCCCCCTTGACTCCTGGGCTGGGTGAGCTTCGACCAAGCCACCCTGGGGATTACCRACTCCGCTTCCACATCTCCCGCCCACAGGTATCTATGCACCGCTGCCCGCAACTGTCGGAAAACCCGCCTCTTCGGCATGTGGATGGCCCCAGCATACCACATCGTGAACAACACCGAATTTTTAAGGACGAGGGCCTTGCCAAACACTCCCAGATGCGTCCCCTTCGCCCATCGCCCCAACCTCAGAATTGCTGTCGCCGCCAATCCTTCCATCTGCTGAGCACCCCCTCCCACTGGATGAATCAGGGCCCCCAAAAAACACAGGTTTTCACCATCCGCCAAGGTGGGCACATCCCAGCCTTCTGGGGCAATATAGCCCTGTGGGAGGATGGCCTGCGACTTTCGCCAATTCACCCTGGCTCCTGAGTGTTGTGAAAACAATTCCAGATCCATTTGGAGGCGCCTTAATTGCTGTGTGGTAGGAGGGATGACTGCACCGGTGTCATCTGCAAAGGCAGTGGACTTGAGGACCATATCTTGTCTCAACTGCAGTCCCTGCAAAGCTTCATCCCCTCGGAGGAGGTCGTGTAGGGCCTCTATGTAGATGACATACAGAGTAGGTGAAAGCGGGCATCCCTGCCGTACTGATCTCGTAAGTTGCAATAAAACCAGAGCGCACCCCATTCACTTGCATACACGTGCGTGCTGCAGCCAGGAGCAGTCGAGTCCAGTTACAGAAAGTTTCCCCAATGCCCCGCCAATGCAAGCTTTGAAAGAGGAATTCCCATCTCACCCGGTCGTAGGCTTTTTCAAGGTCGGTTGTAACAAAAGCCAGTGGTTGGTCGCAGACCTCCTGGTGCCTAAGGATCTGTCTAGCCAGCATAATGTTCGAAACATTTGCCTCCCCGGAACAAACCCCACTTGAGCGGGTTTGATAATACAAGGCAGCACCTCATTGAGCCGGTTTGACAGTACCTTGGCGAGGATCTTGTAGGGAGCATTGAGGATTGATATCGGGCGCCAATTCCTGACATCCTCGCGGGCACCCTTCTTATAGATCAGCACCACAAAGGCATCTGCAAAGCCTTCCGGGAGATGCCCCGCGTGCAAAGCCTCATTGAAGGCCCGCGTGAGGAGTGGACCAAAGAAATGATTCTGTGCCTTATACATTTCAATAGGGACTCCATCCACCCCCGGCGCCTTGAGTCTTGGCAGCTCTCCGATCGCCCTAAGGACCTCTTCTAGCGTGATGTCCATCTCTAAAGCATGCGCCTGCTCCTGAGTGAGGCCAGGCGGGACGTGCCTCCAAATGTGCTCCTGCGGGGCCATCGCCATCTGCTCCACAGTCCATCCCTCCTCCTCCGTAAACAGATCTGCATAGAAGTCCGTTACACAGTCCAAAATCCCCAACGTAGTCTCTTGCCTCGCCTGTCGCAGGTCTAAGGGGGGGTCCATTGCCGTCATGAGGGCAATCCCCTGCTTCTTTCCCAGCTCTCTGAAAAATCGTCGAGACATCTTCTCACCCACTACAGTCCATCCCACCTTTGATCTGCGCCCCCAGCGGGCGGTTTCCACCGTCTCCCACTCTTGCCACTCCCGCACGGCCTCCAYTCGCTCCACCCACCATTCCTCTTCCGTCTGCTCGTCCTTGGGGCCACAATTAAGCGCACTGAGGCGGTCGGCGTACTCCTGTCCTGTGGCCAAGTGGGCACGGTAGCTACCGGCCAGCCTATCATGCAGACACCTGCGCATCAGAGCATTGCCCTGCGGCATCCATCCCAACTCATCCATTCCTTGGGGGCGTCGCGGCAGCCAATTATCCCAATGTTGTTGAATCAGAGGTTTATACTCTTCATCCTGAAAGACCCATGCGGGAAGGGACGGTTGTGGATGACCAACCATAATGTCCCCCACCGGAAAGTTGGCTGCGACCTTTACATGGTCTGACAGCGCTGTTGGAAGGTAAGCAATCTCGCTGCCGCACATGAAGATCGAACTCGAGGCCCACACCATGTCAATCCGGCTCCTTCGGTTTGCCGATCCATACCARGTGAACTCCCGTTCCGCAGGGAAGGCCGTGCGGTAGACGTCCACACAGTCCAATTCTGCCATAAACAACTGTAGCGCCTCCGCATCTGCCGTGGGCGGGCGTTCCTGGAGGGAATCCAGCCCCGGGTGGATAGTGGCGTTGAAATCCCCAGCAAACACATAGCATTCAACTTCGGAGATTTGGGTTCTGAACTCCGCCCAAAAGTCGGTCCGCGCGCGGGGATCCGAGGGTCCATACACCGACACCACACACCAGCGGGTCTGCCCCCACTGTAGCATCACCCAGGCCCATCGCCCCCGTCTGTCCCAGTTCCAGTCTACCAGTTCCCCTCGAAAATGGGGGGATATCAGGATAGCCACGCCCCCCTGCGTTCCTTTATCAGTTGCTCCTTGGGCAGGGGCCCAGACCTGAGGTCCCTTCCACCAGGGGGCGTCGTGCAAACAGAGCCCTTCCCCCAACTTAGTCTCCTGGAGGCAGAGAACGTCGATATGGTGTTTGCGGGCCGTACGCTGCAGCTCCCATCGCTTCGGATTTAGAGACTGAGTCGACAAGCCCTTCACGTTCCAAGTTAACAACTTGAGCTTAGTTAATCGGTTTCTTCGATCCATCCCGGCAGCCCCAACCAGACGGGTGGAGGAAGAAACACCAGAGTGTAAACAACAAACCAAGCAAACACAGACAAGCAAAATGTAGTCAAAGCGCAAAACACACCGACAAACAAGCAAACAAGCCAGTTAGCAAACAAAACAAACAAGAATACAGCCGAAAAAACTACAAGATTCGCAGCACTAACTATTCTACTCTAGAGGAGGGAGTGCACTCACCCAGAGGCACTCATAATTAACACAGCGCACCTAAGTCTAACCCTGCTACATCCTATCCTCCGTCGCCCACCAACCTTTGGCTTCAGCAAAGTTCCCCGATCCCAGACGCTGGTTCGTAGGTAACATAGAATTGACTTTGGCCAATATCCCCGCC